TGTTTGGCGGGCCCGGGCTGGGGATTCGAACCCGCCACCTTAGGTGTATGTGGCTGGTGCCTTAGCTGCTTGAGCCACAGGTGCCGAGCCACTGTGGAAGTAGTTTCAATGGGAAATTGAATTTCCCATTTTCAACTAGTGAAGATTCACTGCCTTCCAAGGGCTGTTCTAAAGGAATGCTTCTTGTGATGCAGGGGATCCTGTACCATCCTCTCAAGGGCGAATTCACCAGGTAGATGCTGCTCTGGCCAGTCACTCTTCTGAAAAGCCAGGCCTGTGGGTTGGATGATCACCTCCCACCTGTCAGGGTAACTGCTTTAGCACAGGCAGAGGGATCCAGGAAGGGACAGCCCGAAGGAGGCTTGTCTCCCCGAGTGGAGGCTGGTTCCTTGGGAGGTGGCAACAGACCAAGGTGGAGAAGGAGAATTTGAGTATCTTCCTAACAGTTTGCTTCTCCACTCACCAATGGCAGCAAAACTTAAAATTTTTGATGACCACTGTCAAGTTAAACACAAAGAAAGCAAGCCTGATATTTTCCCAAATAAGTGATGACTAAAATTATTTCGCTTTTTTTTTTAAGAGACAGAGTCTCACTTTGTCCCCTTGGTAGAAAGCTGTGGCATCACAGCTCACAGCAACCTCCAGGTCTTGGGCTCAGGCTATTCTCTTGCCTCAGTCTCCCAAGTAGCTGGGACCACAGGCACTGGCCACAACACCCAGCTATTTTTTTGTTGCAGTTTGGCTGGGGCCGGGTTCGAACCTGCCACCCTCGGTATATGGGGCCGGCGCCCTACTCACTGAACCACAGGCACCGCCCTACTCTGGTTTTTTGTTTGTTTGTTTGAGACAGAGTTTCACTCTGTTACCCAGGCTAGAGTGCTCACTGCAACCTCAAACTCCTGGGCTCAAGCGATCCTCCCACCTCAGCCTACTGAATAGCAGGGACTACAAGTGCCTGGCACAATACCTGGCTACTTTTTCTATTTTTAGTAGAGATGGGGTCTTGCTCTTGCTCAGGCTAGTCTCAAACTCCTAAGTTCAAGCTATCATCTCACCCCAGCTCCCAGAGTGCAAGGATTACAGATATGAGCCACGGCATTCCAGCCCATTTTTTAAAATTTTTCTCTAATATATATATTTATTTATTTTTGAGACAGTATCACTCTGTCGCACAGGCTAGAGTGCCATGGCATCAGCCTAGCTCACAGCAGCCACAAACTCCTGGGCTGAAGCCATTCTCTTGCCTCAGCTTCCCAAGTAGCTGTGACCACAGGTACCTGCCACAAAACCTGACTATTTTTTCTATTTTTAATAGAGATGGGGTCTTATGCTTTCTCAGGCTGGTCTCAAACTTCTAAGCTCAAGAGAGCTTCCCATCTCAGCCTCTCAGAGTGTTAGGATTACAGGGGTGAGCCACTGCACCTAGCCTATTTTGCATTTTTGAATGATTTATTGATAGAAGATTAATAAAGAATTTGGGAGGAAAGCCACCAGTGTTTACAAATTGTGTAGACAGCAGAAATTTGTGATGGGATTTGAAAGTCCTTGTTGGTCTGAACTCAACTCCCAATCTCATTGGTCTTCCTCTGTGCAAATATAATTGAAGAAATTAGTCCTATGATATAACCAGACATGGCAACAGAAATGCCTTAGAATGATCATAACAGTCATTTGAGGACACAGCCCTATGTGGTGACTTTTGTGGGCCCTAGGCACTTACGCCTTTGTGTGTGAGTATCTTCCTCCATAAAGAAATACCAAAAATATACTTTATGGATTGCATGGGCATAGAGGTAAAAAGAATACAGGCTGGATCCATTATGATATATTATTACTACTATATATTTTTTTCTTTTGATTTCAAGAGAAATAGAAGTGAAAACCTTTTCATGGATCCCAAATGCATTGCAAACTCTTAGCTCTGGGCCTCCTAGGCCCATGGAAAATTGATCATGAGAGTAAGTGACAGGAAACCATCTAGTGGGTTGTCACAGAAGTCATGAACCTTCCTGATACTGCTGTCAAAAATGGTATAAAAAATATGCTGATCTGGACTGGAGCTGGGTGAACAGGGGTGATGACCTGCCCATCTTGGCTTCCTCCCGGGATGACCCCAGCACACGCCCGGGGCCATCCACCTCATGTCATAGGGAAGATGTCGTGGGGGATTCTAGGCACAGATTGCCTCTGACACTCAAAGGTCTCATGGTTTTTATGAAGCCCAACCCACCCTTTTATGCAGAGGGGGACTGATTGGAAGGGGAGAGGCGCTGGCCTTTGTCACACTGGGAAAGCCTGAGAATGCGTACTGGGAACCTGGCATGTTGGCTTCCTGTCTCCCTGCCTTCCATTCCATGCTGTCAGAGTGGCAGTTATGTGGCCCTACCAAGTAACTGAGCCTTGCCCTATTGGACTAGAGAGAATTGGCAGTGGCCCAGATGGAGACAAGCTCTAGTAGGTTTCTTCCGCCCCTCTTGCCCCATTTTTTTTATTGTGCTAAAATACATGGGGCATGCAATTTACTGTCTTCACCATTTTTAAGTGTCTAGTTCTGTAGCACTAAGTACATTCACATCATTGTGCAATCATCATGCCATCCATCTCCAGAACTCCTTTCAGTTTATAAAACTGAAACTCTATATCCATTAAATACTAACATTTCCCATTCCTTTAGACCCTGGCCACCACCCTCCTATTTTGTTTCTATGAGTTTGATGACTCCAGGTAGTATAGTATATTAATAGGTAGACTCACATGGCGTCCTTTAGAGACTGGCTTACTTCACTTAGCATAGTACCCATAAGGTTCATGCATGTGTTCAAAATTCCTTCCTTTTTGAGGCTGAGTCATATTCTACTGCATGGATAGATATTTGACCTATTCATCTGTTGATGACCACTTGCATTGCTCCCACATTTTAGTGACTGTCAATAATGCTGCTACCAACCCTGGTGTACAACTGTCTGTCAGAGACCCTGCTTTCCAGCTGCTGGGTCATGAGGTAATTCCATGTTTAATTTTCTTGACAACAGACATTTTCCTGAAGCAGTAGCACCGTTTTGTATCCCCACCAATAGTGCCCAAGGGCTCCAAGCTCCCCGCCATCACAGCACTTCTCCTCCTGAGCAGGATGTGGTGGTCTTGGCCTTACCTGTCACAGTGGGTGATGGTGGGAGCCACTTGAGCTCCCTCCCCCACACAGCCTGTGGCGCTGAGAAGCTGTGGAAGGGAAAGACGAGAACCAGTCTGGGTGCCAGGAGGAGGTGAAGGCTGGTGCTGTGGTGTGCCCAATAGGCTTGGGGTCCTAGCATGAGTCATCTCCTGCACCCCTTCTATGGCATCTTTGCCTGTGGAATAACAAAATCCCCCCTCTCTCCTGGCTCACGTTGATGTGAGTGGCTGGCTTCAGTGAATCTGTAGGGTGACTGCAGGCCCCTGAATGTTTCACATCCCCAGCTGTCCAGCAAGGTGTGAAAGTGTCTCTGTGTGCCCATTTCATCACTGAGGGGCCGAGTGTGTGGCCTGATCTCAGGAGCTGTAAGGTGTAG